TTCCCAGGAATTTTGGTTACTGGCAGCTTTAAAGTAAAATCTGTCCATTTGTCAATCATTCTTCTTTACATGCCAAACAATTTGATGGCCATCCTACTTGCTCCTCCCCATGCATTTGTCTAAAATTTGAAAGGAATTCCTATGCTTTAGAGCTGTGCATACATATAGGCTCTTTATACAAAGGAACCTAGAAAAGTATGTTTCTTAATTGTATTAGGAGCCCTTACATGCATACAGAATCTCTTTTCGGACTTTCCTTTCAAGAATTTCAGCTGCTAGGAATGAATACACCACAAAATGTGTTCATTATACTCTGAAACAAAGTTCTGAAGGGCACCATATATAGGTGTTTGAGGAGAGCACAGAGGTAGGGATTTGATTCTTTGCTAATTTTGCTCCTAAAGTGGCCAGTAAATTTAGCAATTTTCTTCCCACTGTAAGAATGCCTTTAAAAACTCACAGTTTGGGACTTTGTGCAAATTTTCTCTTTTTTACACATAAAACACATTTCCTCCTATACAAAATAATATTTGTGGAAAAAATAAGTTTCAAAGTGTGAAGATTCTCATTCATCTAGGGGCTCATTCCCACTTACATTTAACCAGGTTTGCAATTCACTTTTGCTCCAGGTTGGTGAATTGATTCCAGTCCATATGTGTCATTCCCACTAAGGAACTGGGTCTTTTCTTTATTTGCTTCTTTTTTTTGGGCACGATTGTCATTCTCACTAGTTTGTGCCCCTTCAAAATGCCTGTCAATCATCTACACATCATCGGTAATGCAATCGGCAACACATTCAAGAAAACATAGGAGGGAGTCGTGGGTGCCATGGCCAGAGTCCCATCCCTCATTAGTATCCCATCCCTCACTAGTTTTGGGGGAAATCCACCATTTCCCCCCTCTCCTTTCCCAGGACCCAACCTTCTGTCCAGGAGGAATTCCAAAATATTTTTCATTCTGAGTATGATTAGGAAGCATGTCCTCCAAGTTCTACAAGGCTGGGAGGGCACCTTCAACTCCCCATGTCCTCCAAGTCCCCTGGAATGCCTCAGACATGGTGTCATATGGAGGACTCTCCCTGGGATACCTCAGCCATAGGTGTCATATGGAGGACTCTCCCCTTGGTGAGATGCTGCCCTCCCAACCTTGCAGAACTTGGAGGACATGCTTCCTAATCATACTCAGAATGGAAAATATTTTGGAATTCCTCCTGGACAGAAGTTTGGAATGTAGGACGGTTCCTGGGAAAGGGGAGGGGGGAAATGTCAGATTTCCTCATAAACTGGTGAGGGATGTGCCAACCCTCTGCCACAGTAATACCTCTCTTTCAGTTTGATGCAATTCAGGTCCTTTGTTCCCACTTGCTGAACACACTTGCTAATCATTTCTTTTCAAAAGAACCACCAAAAAACTAGTGTGAGGAAAGAGCAGTTCTTTTGCATTTTCCTCACTTAATCTCGATTGAAACCAAGTGCAGTCAGTTCAGAACTGGTTTCAAGTGGGAACGATAGACATATAACCCGATCAGCAATTCATCTTAAATCATAGTGGGAACAAAGCCTTGGATTCTCCTCATCAGTTTCCTGACACTTAAGAAACACATTTTTTTTCACTTCTTTTTGTCTAATATTTTGAATATTTTTAACCCCTACATAAGGTTTAGGATTGATAGACTTTTGACTTCTGCTAGAACTGTGATCATATTATTTCACAGTAAAACAAATTATTTATCCGAAGTAATGTACTTTCATGCCATTGATTTCAGTGATGAAACATTCTGCTTAGAGTGCCCACTGCAAGTATTCAGGTATAAATGGGCTAACTTTGTCTAATTTTTTCCTTAAATTGTGTCTTTTGGCTGGCTTTTGCCCTAGATTGTGCCTAAATTAATGTGTACTTATGATGAAGAACATCCCTTTCTGTCTTATCATGCTTAACCTCTCCCCACTGTTTAGGATTGCCATCTAAGCATTTCATGAATAATTTTCTAAATTATCATTTATTGTTCAGATGAAAACACATACATTCATACACATGCATGCACATCAATACACATGCCATAGGCCCAATATCAATGCCGCTTATGTAGCCACTGTCAGTTTTTTAGAAAAATCCAAGATGAATTGTTTCATTATCTGAAGGTGGAATCTAGACTATGTTTGATCAGCATATAGAACTCCCATTAATGGTTATGCCATACTACTCAATAACTTATTCCAGTGCATTCATCCCGAAATAATTAATATTGCCTCTCCAAGTACAACTGTCCAAAGAGACAGAAAAGAATAATAGTCCCTTGATTATAAAGCTTCTTTGAAACAAAAGCTGAGCTGCAGAGCGATTACGCATTAGAGTTAAAGCGATGACAGGCTATATCCAATAATTTTTCATAGCACCACTAAACTTTAATTGCTATCAACAGAGGTATTGGAAGAGAATATTTGTAAACCATTTCTGCATAGGGAGGGGCTCAACAGTTCTTTTTTGATGTTGCTCTATCTTCAACACATAAAATGTTTACTCCATTTATAGGGCATAAAAACTCAAAAGAAAGGGGATAAGCCCACAATTGTAAATGGGCTGAGTGACTGTGGGGAGATGCAGACAGGCAGATGTGGCCTGCCCTGGGAAGCGGAGGACTGGGGCTGAGTCTGCCCCACACCTCGGCCCTAATCCTCCCTTCTGCCGGCCCTGGATGGAGCACTAAAATGCCAGTCCTTCCAGAGCCAGCAGAAGGGGCACATCAAGAGCCGCCATGCGGCTCTTCTGAGCCTCTTTGAGTGCAGTGTGTGATGCTGCTGCGCTGGGAGGATGTATTTGAGGCATGTGCCATGCGTAATGTTGTGCACCCTGATGATGTCCTCGGGGAAGGGTTGAGGTGGCCACCGTGTGGCTGCCCCTCCCCTTCCGAGCCTCCAAGAAGGCACTTTGCGCCATCTGCAGAGGCCTTATGTTGACTATAGAAGGATTTCAGATTTGATAATACATTTTATTTTATTATAGTTTACTCTTCTGGATGCTGTGTAAGACTGGATTCAGTGCCACAATTATCTGATGATAGTCTCCAGCCTAGAAAACTTTAAAAGGTGGTTAAACAAATCATGAATGACAGGACTATCACTGGAGAGTCACTACAAAGGAGGAGGAGAATGAGATCATTCCACCTGCTGAATGAAAATTTCCCTTTCTCTCCAAATTTGTAGCATTCCATTTTTTCAATGACTTTGCCTGCCTCTTTTCCTTGGATGCATAAACTGTATTTCTAAATTCTTGACTGAAGCTACTACAATACTAAAAATTTGGAGACTAAAGAGAAATTTCCTTGCAGGACAGAATGTTTACTTTGGAGGACAATGCTATTATTTTACACCATCCTGGAAGCTGCACCCTATTGGATGTTCTACATCTTTTGGATGTTGTTAGTAAGGATAGCTAAATGGAGCCTCTGGATTAAGAGGCAGTATAGCTTCAAATCTGAGCTACTGTGTGCAAGCAAGGATTGAATTATTGCCCTACTAATAGGTTTTGGGAAGGAGTGAATACTAGAGGGCCCTTGATACCATTATTGTAGGTTTCTAAGTGTATAGGATTACCTAATTGATTGGCTGCCTGGATCTCTCATTTGGTATTGAAGAAAGCTGGATTGCTGGGAGGGAGACCTAAGATGTCAGTGCCTTTTACCTAGGCAGGCGTATCTAATGTGAGGAACCTGTTGATGTCTATATGTTATTGGGCTACAAATTCCATCTTTCCTCACCACTGGGGATATTGGCTGAGGCTGATGAGAGATACATATAACCATTTGGGAGGCCATGGGTTCACCATGTGTGTTTATGAATGTGGATGCCTTGCCCTATGCATGGAACACAGTCTCTGAATGGTTGGGTAAGGGAAGGCCTATGGACATAAAGAAAAAGGGACAAAAGTTTTGTGACACCTTTGAGGCTGGGCAATTTATTTTAGCATGAGTTTCTATGAATTTCAATCCACTTTCTTAGAAACATTGATAGAGTACAACATTGAAACTGCAGGCATAAATGTAGTCACATAGATGTGCAGGTGAGTTACTCTAAAACGGGATGCAGAAAAGAAGAAATGTCCCTCCCTCCAGTAAAGAAACCTAGATGGTACATGAGCTTCCATATGCTTGCCTGCAAGTCTGTAATTACTGAGAATTCCTTAAAAACCCCAGTATTGCCCTGCTAAAAAACAGAGCAATGTTGTTGTCAGTTTTCAAAGATGACCTGGTTCCTATTTATCTGCATAATATTATTACAACCTTTGAGGCAAAGAACTACATGGATTATATTATAGTGTTCCTGAGATCAGATGTGACATGGCTTTGCTCAATTTTAGGCATGCTTATCATCTGAAACATGGTGGGCAAATTACTTCAAGTTTGTAGAGACAAACCTGTCAGCTTCTGACAGCCAATTTGCTATACCACTAATTAATAATGAAGTACTAAGTCTGTTGCTATTTATGAAGCCTAGAAAGTGACGCACAGAAATAAGCATACCTCACATGAACAAACAAGTGTAACATATAAAAAGTTCTGGAGAAATGAATTACAGCAAGGGCTGAACTACGGAATGATTTGTGTTTGAAATATAAGGAAATAAGCCATATCTTCATGTAATCAGCATCAGAGATTTGGTCTAGCATCTCATGAGCCTTTGACTTAACTTCACATATAGGCTTCATCCACTTTAGCTATCCCCAGATTTACTAATATATATATATATATATATATATATATATATATAGGCTTCATTTGCTGCAACTAAAATGAAACACATGCTGAAACTCTATTAGCTTTCATTCATAATGTGTTACCCTTACTTTTCCCTTCTTGATTTTCTCTCTAGTCTTCCACTGTTATTTCTAAATATTGGTTATATTGCAGATAAAATTAAGCACTTTTCAGTTCCAAGAGTTAAATGTGAAAGTCTGAGCCCATGATTACAATCCTTCCACTGAATATGTTGCAACAATGAAATGAGCCAGTGCAGTGTAGTGGTTTGAGCACTGGACTGCAATTATGGAGACCAGGGTTCGAATCCCAGCTAGGCCATGTAAACCTTGGGCAAGTCATGCTCTCTCAGTCTCAGAGAATGGCAATGTCAAACCCACTCTGAACAAATCTTGCCAAGAAAGCCCCATGATAGATTTGCCTTACGGCAGGGATCGGCAAGTTTTTCTTACCTGGGGCCGATCCACTGGCCTCCAGGTCTTCTGTGGGCCGAGGTGGGGGGGAAATGGCGGCTCACACATGTGCGTGCGGCCCCCCCACCCCCCGCCACCCTCTGCCACTGCCACGTGCGCTACCACTGCGCCATCACTGCGCGCATCGCTGCTGCCATTTTGTTTTCCAAAATGGTGGCCGCTACTCATTTGCGCATGCGCAATACTCTTGCGCAAGGGTGAACGAGCCACAGCAACCATTTTGTTTTCCAAAATGGCAGCTGCAACTCGTTCGCACATGCACAGTACTCGACGCATGCACAAATGAGTCACGGCTGCCATTTTGGAAAACAAAATGGCAGCTGCAACGTGCGTGATGGTGGCGTGGCAGCAATGCACATGGGAGCGGTGGGGGGTTGGTGGCGGGAGTCGGTGGGGGCCGGTCCAAAGGGCTCGGGGGGGGTGGACCCGGCCCGCGGGCCATAGGTTGCCAACCCCTGCCTTAGGGTCACCATAAATCAGAAACAACTTAAAGGCACGCAGCAACAGTGTGCCATGAATATACATCAGCATAATTGCACTGGATCCCACAGTTGTCTAGGGGTTGTGCTGCAGGCACCATGGCCTTGAGCTTGACTATTGTATAACATTTGATTTGCCTCCTACCCACCAACTCAAATAAGAGCCATGTGTGTGTTTATATAATAGTGGGCTGCACCATTTGTATGCAGCCTTTGAGAAAGTTCAATAACTTGGTCAACTATTTTGATACCAGTATAATGCCTCAATAGAGTTTTGTTCTGTGAATTTTGGAAGTAACTAATTTTTACAGACTTCTGCCTTTAGGCCTATAGATAGTTTGGTCTTTGCATCAAGATCATACATTTAGCTTTAAAGTACTAGGATAACGTCTCCTTGTTGTTGTAGATGGTATTTTTATTAGTACCACTAATACAGTTGTTGTTATGTGTTTTCATGTCACCTCTGATATGGCAAGCTTATACTAGGATTTTCATGGTAAGATTTATTGTCATTTCCTTCCTATAAGGCTGAGAGAATGTGACTTACCCAAAGTCACCCAATCAGCTTCCATGGCTGAACAGGGATCTGAACCCTGATTTGCCCAAGTCCTAATCTAACACTCAAACTTGCCTGTATGAATGCCCTTCCATACCATCTGAATTGAAGACAACAACCACAAGATCTTGGCAAAATGCAAGCCTTTAACTAACATCTTTTTTTTTTCTTTCTCCTGTATGATTTTTAACAACTGTGTGTGATGAAAAAGCCAGTGGAGTTTTGAAAGTTTGCAACATGTATTAAGTTCATGTCAGTTGAATCAATAAAAGTATCACTGTTTTGTATATTTTGGATGATACTCTACTTTGCCATATGGCCAACACGGCTATGTCTGGATATGTACTCAAATATGTACAATCTTACCTTCATTATTCTTATGGAAATTTTAAATGCAAAACTTTCATGAGAAGACAATGTTGCTGACCACACTGTAGCATGCCCCAACTTCCAAAGTGATATGCAAAGCATACATATTCACTCCCTCAAGAAATGCTTAATAACAGAAAGGAAGCACTGTACTCTTTTGAGTGATTTCTGCTTGGCCAAGCTAATTCCATTACCAGTTAGTCTTGTTTTACACTCAGCTAATAACTCATTCAGAGCTCTGCAACCATTTTTCATCTTGCTCTTCATCCAAGGCAGTGCCCAAGGAGTTTTGCTTATTCAAGATGATGTGTAAGTGTTCTGTCAGCTTCTGCATCACAAGAAGTGAATGAAAGACAAGGTCAAGCTTTCCATATCACCTGTGTGAGTTGAAATATGATAAGCCAGTACCCAGACTTTTCAGAAGGTGAAGCAGGCAAGATTATCCAGGAAGCTAAAGCTTTCCAAAGGGCCTTATTGTTCTCTCATAACTCCAGAAAATGTTTAAATGATTGGCAGGGGCAGGAAAAGTGTGTGATTAAAAGCTTCCTGACAGTTTAGAAGAAGTCTGTTTGTATCTCTGTGAATTCCTTCCCTAGGAAAAAAAAAATCTTACAAAAAGGTTCTGGAATCCCAACAGACATAAAAAACCAAAAGATGCATTTAAATTGAAGTCAAGAATGCTTGACATACTTCTGATTTTTTTTTTTTTTTGCCCTTAATACATTTATGACTGACTGAGCACTGTTTAGCAATACTTTGTTTAGCAATACTTTGACTTTATTTCTGACACACTGTTGATTACCCCTGTCCTGATGCACCTTGACACTCCCTCTCTTCTTAACACTGAGTTCACAAAGTTTTCCCTGACTATTTAAAACAATACAACCAAAGCCAATCATGTGTGTCTGCTTCCTGTGGTTTGCTTTGAGAAAACATACAAAATGAAATTCATTTGTAAGGTGCAGTGTGACTTCATCCTTCCTATTTGCATCAAGTTGAGGCTTCTGTCTTCATACATGGAGAGGGGAGAGAACTCTTTATCCAGTATAAATTTCCTATATGATGTATTAAGAAACTTGATAGGTTGGTCATTCACCTTGTCATGTATTGCAAGGAATTTTAACATGCCTCCTTTTTCTTGTGATAAGATATCCTTCACTCCTTGGCAAGGAAGTACTGATAAAGATAAAGATATCTGCAAGTACTCAGATATCACTCCTGGCCCATCTCTAAATGGCTTTAATTTTGGATCAAGATGATATTTTAAAGGGGAAGTTGGATCACCACTTCAATCTACCATCACTTTTAGGAAGCCGTTTTTTCATAACACAAAGAGGGGCAAAAGTATGAGAAGGACTCCACCAATGTAATTACATGTTCATTGCACATTTTCTGCTGTACATGGTAGGTACCCAGCAATTTATAGCATCAATCATCATCTTCCCACAAAGTATAAAATGTCATATTTGGATGGTTAGAGGAGAATCAGTTTGCCAATACTGTGATAATAGGGATCCAGGGAGGGCACAAAATTCCTCAATATTTTGTCTAGATTGGTGGGACTATGCATCTGGAACATACTTTAATTTCATGGGGCCATCCTACAAAATCCAGGGATTTGTGGTTTTGTGAGGACACATTGGCAGAGAAGTCTAAATACCTTGTCAGACTATAGATCCTAGGATTCCACAGGATGACACCACTTGAAGTGTTGCAGATAAAACCTGACATTGGTAAACTGATTAACATATGCCTGACATTACATTACATGACATTGGTAAACTGATTAACATATGCACTATAACAGATATCCATGACCATTTGTCCTTTCTCATGTCTGATTTGTATTTATTTATTTATTATATTGCGTAGAAATCTTATTGAAGGTTTGAGGGTTTTGTGGCCCATCAGACGCTGTTCACATTATCTTTCATAATTGTGTGTGCTAGAAAGGTCTTATAGGGGTGCAGTCCATTTTTATTTGGAGGCCTACACACCCATCAGCTTTGCCCTTGTTTTAAATTCATCCTTGTGGCTAATAAAGTATGTAAACCTAGTAATCCTGTACATCTGTGTAGCTGCTAGTTTACACTGATTCACTTAATGTTTTAATCCTATGCGTCACAAGATATGTTTTGTATGATTCACTTGCTCCAGGTTCTCCATCTCAGATAGCCAGCTCAGTTGTGGCTGGTGATTTCCATGTTAGTTATGCTGTGAATCTGCTTTGGGCTTTATTCCAGTATTAAGGATTCTAACCACAGTGCTGAAGCCTAGCCATAAAATTTTGTTCAGAAACTTGCATAATTTATTTGAAATAAGGAATAAAATATCAGATTTACTTCTGATACAAAAGCCACAGGATACCACAGGGCTGCATTCCTGACTTTTTGAGACATACAACCTGATGAATCTGTGTTTCATGTTTAATGTGATATGATCAGCCTATTTTGAAAGGAACCCTGATGGAGATGGTGCAAATTTCAACAGAAAATAGTGAGGGAAAGCCCATCTCCCAAAACTCTCAGCACACCAAGGTTGCAAAGCCAACATGTAGTTATGGTCAGTATCAAAAATATTGTGGTTCTGTCTCCAAGATGATTACCTGGTATTTAGTGTTATGGTGTACACCTCATGGGCAAATCAACAGAGAGTTACTTTGGGCCTGTACAGACTGTCAGAAATAATCCAGTTTGAGACCACTTTTACTGTCCTGGCTCAATATTAGGGAATCATGGGAACTGTAGTTTATTGTGGCACCAGAACTCTCTGGCAGAGAAAGCTCAATGTCTCAGAAAAAACTACAATTCCCATGATTCCCTAGGAATGAGCCAGGACAGTTAAAGTGGTCTCAAGATGTATTATTTCTGGCAGTCTGTACAGACACTATATGTCTTCAGTAGCTGAATCTCAGGAAACCACATTATCAATGTGAAGTCTACTTCTAATACAGTGTTGCAATAAATGGAAGAACTTTCATTGTCTCAGGAGTAGTTACTCTGTTCATATAAAAGATTGAGAAAAAATGAAAACCAGGAGCTGCAATCCAGAATAGAATGGGAGTGAGGGAATGTTTTTTTCTGTTACTTTTTACTGATGTAATCCCACCTCGATCTGCAGGGAGAGGCGGGAAATAACAACAACAACAACAACTATTATTATTATTATTATTATTATTATTATTATTATTATTATTATTATTATTATTATTATTATTTATTATTTTGGTGAGAGGGAAAAGAAGACTATGGGCTGAAATAGATGGGCCAAAAGAAGAATGCCAGGACCACACTGGCCCCGATTGTGCTGGCACTGCAGTGACTGCACAGGACCATTTCTGAAGCAGGCTGCTGCTGCAGTCCCAAAATTGGCAAATGGCAGGAATGGATTTAATCCACTTCTTTTTGTGCCAGCTTTTTCAGGTTGGCACGGGCATGGTGTGGC